TTTTTTTGGTTTTTCGAGACAGGGTTTCTCTGTGGCTTTGGAGCCTGTCCTGGCACTAGCTCTGTAGACCAGGCTGGTCTCGAACTCACAGAGATCCGCCTACCTCTGCCTCCCGAGTGCTGGGATTAAAGGCGTGCGCCACCATCGCCCGGCTTTTTAAATTTTTGAGACAGGGTTTCTCTGTGTAGCTTTGGAGCCTGTCCTAGAACCCGCTCTGTAGACCAGGCTGGCCTTGAATTACAGAGACACCCACCACTCCCAACCCCCTCCTCTCCTCTGCCTCCCTAGTGCTGGGATTAAAGGTGTGCACCACCACTGCCTGGCTGCAGTTAGTTAACTTTTACCAGCTGAGCCATCTCACCAGCTCCACATTCAGTTTTTCTTAACAGCAACTAAAAAAAAATAAATTAATAAATTGTCTTCTGTCAGCCTTAAATGTGACCAAGGAGCCTTCCTGACATCTACCTTTCTCCTCTAAGTATCTCAGTTCCAATACTAAAGTTCCTTGATTTTCCTCTCAGTGATATATGGCTAGTCAAGACCATCCCATACGTCGTTATGCTAATAATAAGGCAAGTCTGTTTGTAAGCACATTTCCATGCTTAAAACGATAGATCTATGTTGAACCTCATTATAAGAATGTAAAATGCACATCCCAGCTTAAACCTTAAGTAATATGGTAAATAGGGCTATGTTGTTAAAGGAAAATTGACACATAGTTAATTCACTATATTCTATATTGGATAGGCACTAACTAACTGCACCAGGACTTTTTCTAGGTGAGTAGGTTATCAAAATGTTTTCAAAATACATGAAATATTCATGTTCTGGTGGATTTGCATTCTGATAATAAGCCATAGACCCAGCAAATGAATTTATTCTTTGTTATGTTAGAAATCAGTATTTGGAGAAAAAGAGAAAGCAGAGCCATATCCGGTGATGGGTTCTCAGCCTAGGCTGTGCAGGCTGGGCAGGAAATGTTTGAGAAAGACGAAGATGAGGACTCCGGTAGTCATGCAGGTACCCAAATGTAGGCACTGCAGCTTGAAGAGGTACTGACAATACCCAGACCTTAGTGTGTGTGGATTCTGATGTCAAAGAAGAACCAGGACACCAACAGGATGAGCTACGATAACGGCTCCAAAAATTCTTGTCAGTCAATTCCAGTGTCATCGAGTGTTGGCTGTCTTTTCTCATTGGAGGCTCCCGGGGTTTAGCCGGCTAAGACATTTTTGGTAATAAGCTGTCAGGTGCTAGAGCCTGTATAATGTTTTCTGTAGGGAGCTGATCTGTTTAAGCCCAGGTGCATGCTCACATAGAACGATGCTTCCCCCACGGAGCATTTTCCCTCAGGCCAGCTGGGGAGTCTGAGAGTTTAGCTCCCTACCAGAGAGGGGAGCAGCGGAGAATTTCAGCGATTGGGCCTTCTCTCGCATATGTAACAGGAGTGCAGAATTTTGGGGTGGTTGCGACCTCACATATCCTTCACTAGAGTGTGGACTGGAACCCAGGGATTGTATGAAGTTGCGATAGAAGCTCAGTTTCTGTGGGGGTGCTGCTGACACTACCAGACAGGCCAAGGTTTCAAGACCTGCTGGTTATTTTTACTATTTCTGTGAGAACTACTATGACTAAAATATACTCAGGGAAGGGAGGGTTTCTTTCAGCTTACAGTGCTAGTGGGGTAGAATCCGTGGTGATAGGGAAGGCATGGTAGCCAGAGACAAAAGGACCACATTTTCATCCACACACAAGGAGCAGCAAGCAGAATTATAAAACCTGAAGCCTGCCCCCAGTGACATAATTCCTCTCTCAAGTCTCTACTTCTTAGAGGTTCCTTTGAAGTTGCCATCCCCTCTTATACCAGGACTGACCCTAAGGAGGCCGGTTGTCTGTCACCTCCCCTCCCCCTGCCAGGGGCCCGTTTGCTAAGACCCCTGCCCCCCTGTATTACTCTACCATCCTCTGTTGACTCTTGTTTGGCTTCAACCAGACCCACAGGAAGTATGTTCAGTCTGGTAGTCAGTCAGGGTCCTACCCAGCCACAAGCAGGAACTGTTCTTGCTGTTTTCAGTCAAACAGACGAACCCTGACACAAGAAACAGACCCCTTAAACTGCAAACAGAGTTGCTGACCAGATGTCATAAGCCAATCATAAGATGATTCTGTACCAGTAAGGGTCTGTGCCCAATTATTTTAAAGTACATTTATCTACAGCTGTAATTTCCCTAATTCTGCATAAAAGGAGCCTGTGAGCTTTCCTTGGGGTCATCATTTGCCATCATTATCAGATGGTTGACCCCGGCACGCTGGAACTTTTTATTAAACATTCTTGCTGATTGCAAACGTGACTGGCGGTCTTTTATGGACCTGCTCGCGGACCCTAACATCCACAACCTCCCCAATCAGCATCACCAGAAGCACCACTTAGCATTCAACTACATGAGCCTATGGGGGACATTTCTCATTTGCATCACACAAATGTAGTACAACTTTCCTCTTCCCCTTTCTGCCGCACTGATGCTGGTCTGGGTAAAAGCTCAGCTCTCATTCTGTCTATTCAGTGGAAGAAGTAAGTAGATAGCTATCTTGTAATTGTTTTCCCTGGCTATTTGGCAGAGATATAGAGAAGTTTACCTCTCTGGGAAGGCTCATGCTAGCACAGCGAGAAGAGACTTCATTCCTTGCACGCTTGCCTACAGCAGGGCCGGAAGAGCATTATTAAAACTGTGACAGCTTCACAATAACCGCGTACGTTTAAGTCGGACAAAATCCTGGCAGTGAGAGGGGAAAGCTGGTACAGAGTCCCACCCTAACCAAAGAGAAGCTGTTTGCAATTGATACCAACTGGGAAAGGGGAGATTAGTTTTCTCCAATAGAGTGAAGCTGGGTATTTCTGCTACATTCCAGGGCAGGTCTCATGGTCAGGAGTAGTTGGCTAACACAAAATGGACACCATGTTCTTTCCATTGTTTGTTGTTGTTGTTATTATTTGGTGGTTTTTGTCTGTTTAGTCTGAACCTAGTGTTTGTTTGTTTCATTTTTATTGTTTGTTGAGCAAGGGGGGGCAGGGGAGAAGAGAGAGAACATGAAGTTGGATGTTGTGTAGCAGTTTCCTCTGAGATGGAAACACTCTCCATACTAGAGAGAAGCTGCTTAAAACTTAAAGTAAACAACTCAAAACAGCTTCAGGAAGTCCCTGAAACTGACCAGATACACTAGGCCTATTCTTCCCACAAGCAGACAATAAAGACTGAGAGAGCCTCTGAACAAGATAGGCTGCTACAAAGAAGACTGAGACCAGACTGGCTGTCTGTAAGGCGCAGAAACCTGCTGAGTGGCCTGGAAGAGGATTAGGTCAACTGAGGAACCTGGAAAGAATATTCTCCAGTCTGTGGAGTGGCCTAAAGGCTCTGTAGTGTGCTCCAGGTTCTCAGTGTTTGTGAGCTCTTACCCAGTCTGGGAAGGGCTTTGGTGATTCAAATGCTGAATTACTTCTCCTGGAAATAACCCATTACCCACACTCCTGTAAGCAATCCCAACAAAACTCATTGGTTCACCAAGGTGGACTGTGGTGGTATCTCTACTTTGGTCTACTGTGGG